CCACATCCTCATCTTCTCCAGCATGACCATGGCCATCATAGAACCAATAGATATTTAATTCCACTAGAACATGATAGACAGAGAAGTCAGTGACCACTCCAAGGACATCTACCTGGTGGAAGATCGTGTTCCTTGAACTGCCTTTTTTTTTTTTTAAACCGGTGTAATCATTCATTTACTCACAGGAAGGAATTATATTGTAACCTTACATTTAATGACAATCATTGTATGCCACCCTAGGAGGATGGATACTGCTATCACCACTATTTGAGAGAGGATATTCACATTTGGAATGGATTCGTTGTCTCTCTTAAGTTCAAACGTATATGTGGTTGATCAGATATTCAAAATCTGGTTGTCTGATTCCAAAAATTTTGCATTTAAAGCATTCAAAAAAGTCTTCTATTATTTCATCTTTTAAAATCCCCTTCTATTGTCATACACTGTGTGTTTTCTCTTGCAATTTGCAGGTTTATTCCCTTTGCACTTTTTTCTAGAGGGATATTCAATCAGTAAAATGTCTTGACATCATAAAAATACCACTCTTTTTTTGTTTAGATACATTATTTTTGCTTGCTTTGTTAATTAGTCTGGGCAGCAAGAGGATGTGGACTGGGGTTGGAATGCTGCCAGAAGCAGGGAAGCTTTCTGCTCATCAGTCTCTCAGGGAACCCCTGAGCTTATTAGATTTCTTTTCCCTCTTGTGTCCATTTCTTTCCTCTCTCTGTTTTTGGAAACTCGCTGTTGTGTTTACTTAAAGAGAACACAGAGTAATCATATGAAAATGGAGCAATAGGTATGATTTCTTCTTTAAATGTTTGGTGGAATTCTCCTGGGAAGCCATCTGGCCCTGGATTCCTGTTTTGGGGGAGGTCTTTGATCACCCTTTCAACCTTATTACTATTGGTCTATTCAGATTGTCTATTTCTTCCTGTTTGGGTCTTGGAAGTTTATACGTTTCCAGGAAGTCATCCATTTCTTCCAGGTTGCTTAATATGTTGATATATAGTTGCTGGTAATAATTTCTTTTTTATTTTTATTTTTTTTTCAGTGTTGCAGAATTCATTGTTTATGCACCACACCCAGTGCACCATGCAGTATGTGCCCTCTACAATACCCACCACCAGGCCCACCCAACCTCCCACCCCTTGCCCCTCCAAAACCCTCAGTTATTTCCTCAGAGTCCACAGTCTCTCATGGTTCGTCTCCCCCCCTCCAATTACCCCCAACTCCCTTCTCCTCTCCATTTCCCATGTCCTCTGTGTTATTCTTATGCTCCACAAATAAGTGAAACCATATGATAATTGACTTTCTCTGCTTGACTTGTTTCTCTCAGCATAATCTCTTCCATCCCGTCCGTGTTGATACAAAAGTTGGGTATTCATCCTTTCTGATGGAGGCATAATACTCCATAGTATATATGGACCATATTTTCTTTATCCATTCATCCATTGAAAGGCATCTTGGTTCTTCCCACAGTTTGGCAACTGTGGCCATTGCTGCTATGAACATTGGGGTACAGATGGCCCTTCTTTTTACTACATCTGTATCTCTGGGGTAAATACCCAGTAGTGCAATTGCAGGGTCATAGGGAACCTCTATTTTTAATTTCTTAAGGAATCTCCACACTGTTTTCCAAAGTGGTTGCACCAACTTGCATTCCCACCAACAGTGTAAGAGGATTAGTTTGGGAGTATAATCTTTCATTTTTTTAATTTCTTTTCAGTGTTCCAGAATTCATTGTTTATGCACCACAGGCAGTGCTCCATGCAATATGTGCTCTCCATAATACCCACCACCAGGCCCATTCTTAAGTCATTAAGACATAATTGTTTTAAATGTTAACTATAAAATGGGTTAATAATTATCTATCTAAGTAATATCATGCATTATGTTATTAACTATACACTAATATAATATTAATGATGTTTAATAATTACAAATTGATCTAGTTAAGATAAATGAGGTGACTTTTTAATCTTTCATATATAATTATTTTAAATATTAAGTGTATATTACATAAATAACTAAATTATATTAATGACTATAGTCTGTAATATAAATAGCATCTTATGCATTAGTAAATACATATTAATACAGTATTCATTGCGTTAACTGAGGGGACAGTTTTAAATCTAGAAAGCAAAACTGAAATGACGAGATGGCACTCATTTGTGTAAACTCCTTCTCTATCCTAATTTTAAAGGAAACAGAGGGTCATTTGGATGACAAAATAACTGTAACAACAGCCAAGATTTAGAAATCACTTCTGATATACAATCACAGTTCTAAATATTTTTCGTGTGTCAGCTCAAATAATCCCCCCAACAACCTGTGCAGTAGAAACTGGTATGGGGCCACAAGACAGATGAGTAACTGAGGCACAAGGAGATTAACTAACGTGGTTGAGGTCACACAGCTGGTTGGTGGCAGAACTGGGGCCACATCCAGTCTGGCACTCACACTATGTGCCTATCCTGATGACACAAGAGCTCAGCTGCATCAGCGAGCCCTGGCCATCTGGCCTCCCTAGGGAGTTAAGCATAAAGGTCAGCAAACTTTTTCCATAAATGGCCAGATAATCAATATTTCCAGCTTTGTGGTTCCTATGGTCTCGGCAGCAATTACTCAGCTCTGTCCTCAGAGCATAAATAAGGCCATAGACACTTTGGGAGGGATGAGTGTGTGTTCCAGTAAAACCCACTTTCAAGAGGAAGTGGAAGCTGCCTGCTTTGCCAACACCTACCTTCGAAGCTACACTTTGATGCTTCCTGCTGGGTCCATCTGACCCTATCCCCATCTTCACACCTCCCATCTCACTGGGGATAAAGTCCAGCTCTGTCCTTGCTCTCAGTGTGGCCTTGAGATGCCTCATCTGTGAGTGTGTGAGTACCTGTCTCCATAAGTTATGTAACACACATGAGCCTTAAGGCTGGAGCAGGCTCACAGTTTTGTCTAATTTGGGTTTTTTCACTCACTTCTTGCATGGTCCAAAATTTTCACCTGTCTATACCCACTCATCACTCATATTTCACCTTAAATACAATTCAGTTCTTTCAGGGAAACGCTTCCCGACTATCTGGATCTCCTATACCCCAGACTAAGTTATGGATCCAGCTACATATCCTCATAGCTCTTCATACTTGATCATAAAATTAATTACCTTGATTTTGTCTACCAATTGTTGACTCTCCCACCTCGCTGATGTCTCCGAGGACTGAGACCACTCCACCCTAATCCCAGCCAATCTTCAGAGCCAAGCACAGACCCTGACACAGAGGAGACACTTAATACTTACCTAAAAAACCCATAAATTAATTTATAAGTCAATACTGCAATTTTCTTTTTAAAAATTATATTTATTTTTGCTAGTATGTCTGGGTTCCAAGACATAGGAAAAATTTTTAAAAGGAACTTATCTTTTTTTAAAGACCACTTTATTAAGGTATGACTGACATGTAAAACACTGTATGTAATTAGTGTACACAACCTGTTAAGTTTGGTGCTAATACTCATGAAACTATTGCCACCATCAAAGGCATATACAAAGTTGTAGTTCTGCAAAATAAGTAAGTTTAGAAGATCTATACCACATAGCGGTTTTCCCTAACAATAGTTAAGTATTGCATACTTAAAATTGACTAGGAGCTTATGTTAAATGTTTACACACACAAAAAAAAGCAATACTAATAATGATGATGAAGGCAGGAGAAAACATTGGGGTGTTTATTTATAAATCTTTTATCCAGGAAAGCCAATATTTTCTTGAATCTTTTCCCATCTTTCTCTTAGATGCTGGCTCCACACAGACAAAGGATTCATATGGACCTTCCTTGGCCCTGTCTGCACCATCTTCTCTGTGAGTAATGGATGACATCAGAGCAGCCCACCTGCCCAGCTGAGGGTCATTCAAAGACCAGGTGTATCAGGAGGGTGACAGTCAGGGTGAGCAATCATTCCAGTTGGCCCAGGACGGATGAGGGGCTCCCAGGAGGTGGGAATTCCCACTGTAAAACCAGGAATCAGGTGTTTCCTGAGACGTAGCACTTTCAGTGCTGAAATTTGGAATTCCCATGCAAACTGAATTGAAGTGGTCACTGAAGTTACAGGATAAACATGGGCCTGATTTAGGGGGTGTTTGGTCTGCTTCTCTAGGACTGTTATGAAACACAAAAGCTTCTTCCCTGCCACATTAGCAGCTGGATGAGCTAGGAAGAAGGTTTTCTAAATGTGGAGTGTAATTAAAATGCCTGTGGGTTTTCTGCAGATTAATTTGGCTTTCTTTCTGATGACCTTCTGGATTGTGAAAAACAAGCTCTCCTCACTCAACAGCGACATGTCCATGCTCCAGAACACAAGGTGAGGATGGGTCACAGGGGCACACCATGCCCCAGACAGAACATTGTCCTCATGCCTCCAAGGCTCTGGTGTCTCTTCACAGGACTCCTGAGGGGACAGGAAGATAAAAGGGCAGCAACCCTCCTTGGCTGCCAGCTCAGATTCTGTGGTTTGCTGCTGACACGCATACCAAAAACATTCCATCTGTGCATACCCTGAACAACAAACTATTTCAGCTGCAGAGAGAAATGACTTTGTTCTGACAAGCAGAGATTGCTATCAGGGATCTATGAAAAAGATCCTGTGAAAATTCATATCTTTATAACACACTCAGGAAATCACATAACAGTTTTCAGAACCAGCACACCCCCACCATCCTCACGCCTTCATGCATGCTCTGCCCTCTGCTGTCCCCCTTCTCTTGCACCTGGTGAACTCGGTTTTGTCATCCACATATCACATCCTCTAAGAGTTTGGGGATGTCCTTTGCTTTCCTCAACTTTACACAGAATCAATGGCCTCTATTCCGGGCAAAGCATATCCTGGCTCAGTTCATGGAGAGGGTGAGGACAGGAATAGCCCTGGATGGAAAGAAGTACCTCACTTTGCAAATGTTATAAGTGGTCATTTGTTCTTGTTTTTCCACCAGATTTTAAGGTCTGTAAGAACAGACGTCTTGTTCTTTTTTGTTTTGAATGCCCTAGCCCCAGCCTAGAGCCAGGTGCATAGAACATTCTCGACAATGTCAGTTGAACAAAATTAGGGATCTTCATGAAACATCATGATCTTTTCAAAACTCACATTCTTGAGTGTCACCATTATCCTCAGCCCTAGTCAAATGCCATCTTGGACCCAAATAGTGTTTCTCTTTAGGGAAACATTGACAACAAAGGTCAAAGTTGATCACAATTCAGTCAGAAGCATCATGGAGTGGACATGAAACCAGCCCTGGTTGTGTTGTCTGGATGCATCCTGACCTCCTTCTTCCTCCTACCCAGGATGCTGACATTTAAAGCCACAGCTCAGCTGCTCATCTTGGGCTGCACGTGGTGTCTGGGCATCCTTCAGGTGGGTCCAGCTGCCCATGTCATGGCTTACCTCTTCACTATCATCAACAGCCTGCAGGGCATCTTCATCTTCCTGGTGTACTGCATCCTGAGCCAGCAGGTACTACTGCCCATTCCCACCCAGGACCCTTCCTATGCTCACTCCCTTCAGTGAGCTGACCCAAGCATGTTTTGTCTCTACAGGTCCGGGAACAATACAAGAACTGGTTCAAAGGGGTCGGAAAAACCAAAGCTGAGTCTGAGAAGTACACTCTCTCAAGTGGGACCATGTCTGATGACTCTAAACACAGTGTGGTAAGATTATCCAGTGTTCCCAGAGCACTTCACTAACCAGTCCTCTTGAGAAGCTCATGCCTACTTCACTGACAACCTGGGTATACAGCAGGAGATGCTCTATGATGACTTACACTTGGTTTTCACCTGAACTCACTTGAAGACACTTCCCTATCTTGAAAGGAGGTCTTCCTATACTTTCACTCACTTTCTACGCTCATGTTGACCCTTGCACATGACTGTCCTCTTTCCCCACAATGTAGAGCATCACTTAGTGTGGCATGGGTGCATCCCCTTTTTAACTGTACTTAGGAGCAAGATACAAAGTACCTATATGCAGAGAACAATGTTGTGATCGACCAAGTAATCAGGAATAAAGATCTGTACCCCTGGTGCACACGCTGCACGTAGTCACTGCACATCCTTTATCCCTCATCATTCCACACCAGCCCTGTATATGACAAACAATAAATATGTGTAAATATAGTCACAAAACTCAAGTGAAATAAATACTAGGATGGATTGGAGACTTTTCTTCAAAGTCTGCTTTCATTCCTAGTATTTCCAAATACACAAACCCTGCAAAACCTCACTAGAGAGTCACAGAAGGCAGAGGAGAGATCCTGGCAATGTGAATTGTACCAAGAATTTGTATGTTCAGATTTACAAAACCTTTTCTCTTCTTAGACTTCTTCCAATAATATTTTGTAGTTTTCTGTGCACATCATGCACCTTCTAACACAAAATCATGTTTATGCCTTCCTTCATAGGAGAATTATAATGAACAGCTAAGGCTGACGAACTTGTCTCTTAGAAAATGAAGAAAATGCTGGCTGCCATCCTTTGGGAAGAGTATAAAAGATGCTTTTTCATGGTTATCACAAATAACTCTTCTTGGCACCACTTGTAAGAGAAAGTAAGCAGTAAACATTTGATATTCAGTTGCTGGAGACTTTTAGTTTTCTGGTGCATACAACATGTTCATCTCACTCCCAGTATAATCAGGAGCTATGACCCAATACCCCAGTAGAAACCTCTTCTACAAATGTTCTTCCTCAGGTTAATGATATATAACAAGGAAAAACAGCCTCAAAGGACTTTCCTGAAATGACATAAGAGGGAAAACTAATATTCACATGCCTGCATGTAGTATAAACAACTAGTCCCAGTTGCTCAAGACTTTCCTGGTTTTAGTACCGGAAATATTATACCCCAGGAAACACTTTGGTCACAGGCAAAGTAGATCAGTTGGTCCCCATACATACATACATGCCTCAACTTCTTCACTCTCCATTTCTAAAGACTTACTAATTTATTCATTCCAAAAATATGTGCTGCGAATAGATCAAGGAGATCCAATTCCTGATTTCACAGAATTTAAATGTGGGAAGGGAAGATTTCATCAGAATAAAATCAGAGCTAGGGGACTAGAGTGTCTGCATCTTTATGTTTATAAATTGAGTTGTGGGAAAAGGTGTATATGGCTACTGCACATTTTGTGAGATGTATTTATAGATAACATATTATTTCACTCTCATCATGCAGTCTAAGCAAGATCTAAATCCAGAGCAGTTACAGCTACAAGAAACGTCCTGAGGGCTCCCTCTGACCAATTCTGTATCAATTTGAGCATCAAAGAAACATGATTATGTTTTAAATAACTTATCCATGAGTCCATAATGATACTTTAAAAGACCATTGAATAATTAGAAGAGCATGATTCTTCCAATATCCCATAAGTGGCCACTAAAAACATTGAGTGAAAGTCTTTGGAGAACAGGCTAGGACCACAGATTCAAGGAATCACCTCACAGACTACCAATTAATTACAAGGGGCAAAGTGTACATTGGCAACATGGAGATCTGACAGCCACCATCAGAAACTAATGATGAAGCTTAATATCATCAATGGTGGGCAAACCAACTTTATGTATCTCCTGATATGTCATGAAGTTACAACATCTCATTTTTAGTAAAAAAAAAAAAAAAAAAAAAAAAAAAAGAATTATTAGCAAATCACTCTAATTGAAATCTAATCCAAACTTTAGGCTGTGAATTGGCAAAGTATAACATTCCAGCCAAATGTAGGGAACTGCCTGTTTTTCTTAATAAACTTTTATTGGGACACAGCCATACACATTCATTGTCTAGGCTGTTTTCATGCTAAAATGTCAGAGTTGAGTTGTGACAGAGGCTGTAAGGATACAAAGCTAAAAATATTTGCTACCTGGCCCTTTATAGAAGAAGCTTGCTGGTCTCTGTCCTTTTAGACTTAACTTTCAATATAGATGAAATACAGAGGACAAAATAATTTAAACGACATCATGAAGAAACCGTCAGGCAAATCCTGAATTCAGGCATTCAACAAGACAATTGGCCTGGCCTCTTCTAAAATCAATACCATTTTTACAAGTGACTAAAGGCTGCTCTACATTAAAAGAAATGAAAGCCTGGTGGTGGGTATCAAGGAGGGCACATATTGCATGGAGCACTGGGTATGGTACATAAACAATGAATCTTAGAACATTGAAAAAATAAAATTAAATAATAAAATTAAATAATAAAATTAAATAAATATATAAATATATTTCATTACTTAAAAAAAGAAATGGAAGTGACATTACAAACAAACTCATTGTCAATTTTAGTGGAGTTCTGGTTCAGAAAAACAGCTATCCATGACATTTTGGAGGCAATTAGGATAATTTGAATATGTATCAAACATTGAAAGTTATCATGAAATTTTTATTAATTTTCTTGGGTATAGTAATAGTATTGTGGTTATATAAAGAACATTCCTTGAATTCTCAAATATTTGTTGAAGGAGGATTGAAGAATGAAGTGTCATGATGTCTACCACTGAGTATCATATGTTTTAGCAAGAAAATGTATCCATGTGTGGAAATAAATTGGGAAAAGTGTTTTAATGTGGCACTATGTTAACAATTGTTGACTCTTGTTGGAGAATATGAGTGTTTATTGTATGTTTTTTCCAAATTCTCTCTATGTTTAAAATGGTAAACAAAAGGTGTCAGAGAAGAAAATAAATATATCAATTAGTTATTAATTCATAAAGATATATGCCCTCATGAATTCCTAGATGTCCAGATAAAATGCTTTCACCTCTGCACAAAACTAACTTTGTGAATGAATGTTTTTTAAGATTTTATTTATTTATTTGAGAGAGAGAGAGAGAGAGAAAGCACACAAGCTGGGACAGGAGGGGAGGAGCAGAGGGAGTGGGAAAAGCAGACTGTGCACTGAGCTCAGAGCCCAATTCAGGGCTTGATCCTACAACCCCTCAGATAATGATCTGAACTGAAATCAAGAATCAGCTACTTTAAAAATTGGCAAGGCAAGAAATAACAAATGTTGGAGAAGTTTTGGAGTAAGGGAAACCCTCTTACACCATTGGTGGGAATGCAAGTTGGTGCAGCCACTTTGGAAGACAGTGTGGATATTCCTCACAAACTTAAAAATAGAGCTACCCTATAACCCAGCAATTGCACTACTGGGTATTTACCCCAAAGATACAGATGTAGTGAAAAGAAGGGCCATATGCACTCCAGTGTTCATAGCAGCAATATCCACAATAGCCAAAATGTAGAAAGAGCCAAGATGCCCTTCAACAGATGACTGGATAAAGAAGATGTGGTCCACATACATAAAGTAATATTACCCAGTCATCAGAAAGGATGAATACCCAACTTTTATATCAACCTGGATGGGACTGGAGGAGATTATGCTGAGTGAAATAAGTCAAGCAGAGAAAGTCAATTATCATATGGTTTCACTTATTTGTGGAACATAAGAAATATCATGGAGGAAATTAGGAGAAGGAAGGGAAAACTGAAGAGGGGAAAATCAAAGGGGGAGGTGGACCATGAGAGACTATGGGCTCCGGGAAACAAACTGAGGGTTTCAGAGAGGAAGGGCAGAGGGTATAGGTGAGCCTGGTAATGGGTATTAAGGAGGGCACAGATTACATGGAGCACTGGGTATTATGCGCAAACAATGAAATGTGGAACACTACATAAAAAACTAATGATGTACTGTATGGTGACGAACATAATAAAAAAAGAATAAGTACTTATAACATTTTGGAAAATGCCTGAATTAACTGATGTGGGATAAAGAGCTCCCCAGAACATCCTGGATATAGCTCAACAAACTACAGCTCATGGGCCAAATCTGGCTCACTGCCTGGTTTTGTACACCCTACAAGGTAAGAAGAGTCTCTACATTTTTAAAAAAGTGAAAAAAATCAAAAGAAGAATATTTCATGTCATGTTAACATTACATAATGTTAAGATCACATAACTTCCAAAAATAAAGTTTTATTGAAACACAGTCATGGGGTGCCTGGGTGGCTCAGTGGGTTAAAGCCTCTGCCTTTGGCTCAGGTCATGATCTCAGGGTCCTGGGATTGGGCCCCAAGTCGGGCTCTCTGCTTAGAAAGGAGCCTGATTCCCTTCCTCTCTCTCTCTCTGCCTGCCTCTCTTCCTACTTGTGATCTCTATCTGTCAAATAAATAAATAAATAAATCTTTTTAAAAAAACACAGTCATGATCATCAATCATTTATGAGTGTCTATAGCAGTTCTCATGCTCCAATGGCAGAGTTAAATTGTCATTAGAGATTCTAGCTGTGATGCTTAATTTCATATGTCAACTTGACTGGGCCACAGGATGTCAGATAGCTGGTTAGAAATGAATTCTGGGTGAATCTGTAAGGGTGTTTCCAGAAGGGATTAGCATTTGAGTTGGACTGAGTAAAACAGAAGGCCCTCTCCAATGTGGATGGGCATCATCCTGTCCCTTGAGGGCCTAAATAAAATAAAAACATAGAGGAAGGTTGAATTAACTCAACTTGATGGTTTGACTGGGGCATCTATTTTCTAGCCTCCACACACCCAGTACTTAGGCCTTCAGACACACAGTGTAATCTACAGCATCATCTCTCAGGTTCTCAGGCCTTCAAACTACACCACCATCTTTCCTGGGTCTCCAGCTTGCATACAGCAGACTGTGGGACTTAGCTGCATAATCACGTGAGCCAATACCTCATTATAAATCCCTGAATAATTGCACTACTGGGTATTTACCTCAAAGATACAGATATAGTGAAAAGAAGGGCCATCTGTACCCCAATGTTTATAGCAGCAATGGCCATGGTCGTCAAACTGTGGAAGGAACCACGATGCCCTTCAACGGACGAATGGATGAGGAAGATGTGGTCCATATACACTATGGAGTATCATGCCTCCATCAGAAAGGATGAATACCCAACTTTTGTATCAACATGGACGGGACTGGAAGAGATTATGCTGAGTGAAATAAGTCAAGCAGAGAGAGTCAATTATCATATGGTTTCACTTATTTGTGGAGCATAACAAATAACATGGAGGACAAGGGGAGTTAGAGAGGAGAAGGGAGTTGGGGGAAATTGGAAAGGGAGGTGAACCATGAGAGTCTATGGACTCTGAAAACAATCTGAGGTTTTGAAGGTGCGGGGGATGGGAGGTTGGGGGAACCAGGTGGTGGGTATTGGAGAGGGGACGGATTGCATGGAGCACTGGGTGTGGTGCAAAAACAATGAATACTGTTACGCTGAAAATAAATTTTAAAATTTTAATAAATAAATAAATAAATAAATCTCTGCATAAAAACGTGTGTGTGTGTGTGTGTGTGTGTGTGTGTGTGTCCTGTTGGTTCTATTCCTCTGGACATCCCTGGCTAATATACTGGCCCACAAAGCCTAAAATATACATGTCATCATCTAAGTTTTCAAACTATCTGCGTCATCATGTGAGAAGGAAATAAGATGTGTCAGTAAAACGGTTTATATTTCAATTATCTGGCTATAGACACATGTATTATAGATATCTTTCAGCCTCTGAGTCAACTCTAGCTGCAAAAAATCACTTTATTTCCCCCTGAAATCTCAATGAAAGTGAAACCTGTGTCTCTCTTGATTTCTGCCTTGGACTTAATGAGAAAAATAATAACTTTCAATGGGTAAATAACTAAACACACAGAAAACAGAAGAAAGAAATGACAAAACCCAGACACTGGTGTGAACATTTCCATTCTTGTGGATGTTGCTCATAGGAAAATCCATTGAGCTGGGTTTTCCTGCTCACAGATGTTCAGTCTGGAAGAGTCTTTGTAGGAAGGAGAGGCCTCAGAAAAGGGTGTAACCAAGAGTAACCAAGAAATTGGGCCACAGCTGACCCTTTATATGATGAAAGTTTTCTGAGCACACTGAAGCACACAGAAAGTTCCAGATTTTGCAGATCTCAAGTGTCAAACATGGTTGACTTCTTTCACATTGTTGACATGGTGAATTTCTTGAAACACACACAATGAAGTCTTGTTTATCTTCTCAAGGGCTCAGATAATAATACCTCCAAATTTCCATGGGATAAGAAGATATAATTTAAAAGATTTTTTAATAGGGGCACCTGGGTGGCTCAGTGGGTTAAAGCCTCTGCCTTCGGCTCAGGTCATGGTCCCAGTGTCCTGGGATCAAGCCCCACATCGGGCTCTCTGCTCTGCAGGGAGCCTGCTTCCACCTCTCTCTCTGTCTGCCTCTCTGCCTACTTGGGATCTCTGTCAGAGAAAAAACTTTTTTAATAAACCTAGAAAATATAATATTTTAGAAATGATATAAAACATAACAGAAAGAACTTTCAAAGAAGAAATAACACCTATTCTCCTGAAGCTATTTCAAAAAACTGAAGCAGAAGGAAAACTTCCAGACTCTTTCTGGACCCTACCAGAAAGGAGAATTTCAGACCAATATCCCTGATGAATGTGGATGCTAAGATTCTCAACAAGATACTCGCAAACAGGATCCAACAGCACATTAAGAAGGTTATCCACCATGACCAGGTTGGATTCATCCCTGGGATACAGGGATGGTTCAACATTCGCAAGTCAATCAATGTGATAGAACAAATCAATAAGAGAAGAGAGAAGAACCCCATGGTCCTCTCAATTGATGCAGAAAAAGCATTTGACAAAATCCAGCATCCGTTCCTGATTAAAACACTTCAAAGTCTAGGGATAGAGGGAACATTCCTGAACTTCATCAAATCTATCTATGAAACACCCACAGCAAATATCATCCTCAATGGGAAAAAGCTCACAGCCTTCCTGTTGAGATCAGGAACACGACAAGGATGCCTACTCTCACCACTCTTGTTCAACATAGTATTAGAAGTCCTAGCAACAGCAATCAGACAACAAAGAGAAATGAAAGGTATCCAAATTGGCAATGAAGAAGTCAAACTCTCTCTCTTCGCAGATGACTTGATTCTTTATATGGAAAACCCAAAAGACTCCATCCCCAAACTACTGGAACTCATACATCAATTCAGTAACGTGGCAGGATACAAAGTCAATGTACAGAAATCAGTGGCTTTCTTATACACTAACAAGGAAAATACAGAAAGGGAAATTAGAGAAT